GCCTGCAGGCGTGGGGCGAGGTGAGCCGGGCTCGGGAAGCCGGGGCGCACCGCGTGTGCCCTAGCCGTCTGCTTGCCCGGAGGGCCCTGCCTGGAGGCCAGACTCCCTCAGGCCTGGATAGAGGCCATTGTATACGTGTCCCCTCCGGGAAATGAAGGCGGGGAGTCTGGAACGAAAGGAGGGCCCGGGCGCACGGATGTTCCTGCTGCAATAAATGTCCACCGAGACGTGATCCACGTGCGCGTTGAGGAGGGGGACGGGATGCTGGACCGGGAAGGCGCGATCGCTGCTCTCATGGAGGTTGCGGTCTAATGGGGAGGTGCTCGAATGACCAGAGCGATGAGGGAGCACGGGGAACCCAGCAGTGACAACTGCCCCAGCGTTGGGTGTCAGGGATAGGCGCCGGTGAGGGTGACAGCTGACTCGGGTCTCTGCACGCTGGAGGAAAGTCGTGGCACTTTGGGGATCAGTGGAGGAGCGCTGGAGAGGGGGGACAACAGGTGAGCAAAGAGACCCCCACGGCTGTAATTACAAGGCTTATTTATAAGTCTCTATCTCTGAGGAGTACTGGGGAGCTATAGGAGGCGTTGGAGCCAGTCAGATGTGTGTGCTGTCTACATGTCCTTCGGGAAGGATCCATGTGGTGGGACTGGAGTCGAGGGGATGAAGGCAGGGGTTGGTACACCCCCAAACTGGAGGGCATGGTATCTGCCTAAGGGGACCGGGAGCTGGAATGAGGGCACAAACATGGCCTGAGACTCAGGGCCAGGCAGGAGAGCATAGAGGAGCCCCAGTCTTTTAATTTAGGCAGAGGGTAGCAGAATTACCAGAAGATGGGAGGCCGGTCTGTGAGGCCTAGACTCAGGAAACAGGTCTACACGGTTTATTTATCAGACCCGTGTTCTGAGCCCTATTCTGCTCTGAGGTTAACTTGTCAGGTCCTTGTCGTAATTCTAGAGTGTCGGCCCTGTCACTGCCCCTGTTTTGCAGAGGTGACAACTGACACTTCATTGTTTTGATCAGGTCACTAGAAGGGATGGGACCAGCAGGTGGCCTGATGGTTAAGGCGCTAGACACTCCACATGGCTGACCATGGTTCAAGACTAGGACCTGGTGGCTTGCTTTCTTGCTTCCTCCCTCTCTGTGTCTCTCTGTGGTCAAATAAAAATAAATGAATGAATAAATAAAAATTTAAAAAAAGAGAAGGGGCTGGTGAGCCGGGTTTGAAATTAGGCAGTTCTGTTGGAAAAGCCTGTAAAGTACTCTCAGGGCCGAGCAGAAATCATTTAGAGTGTAGAAGGGGTTGTACCTTGACTAATGTGCAATTGCTGTTGTGTAAGTTGTAGGGAGTTAAATAATGACAGTTTAGGGGAACCAGCAGTTGGCGTAATGGCTATGTCACTGGACTCCCACGTAGTCGACCGTGGTTCGCGTCCCGGACCCGGTGGCTTAAAACTCACGCCAGGCACATGTGCGTGCATGCCCAAGATCCCGAGAGGAGAGCGGCGTGGCCATCCCCTCTGGGAGGTGATTTCTCGCTTTCTGTCTCTATGGCTCTTTCTGTCTGTCTGGCGAGCGCACGCGCCCTATAGCAAAAACCTCTCCAAAAAAAAAAGGAAAGAAAGAATGCCAGTTTATGGCCAGCAGGTGATACAGCGGTTAAAGGCCCTAGATCCCACATGGCTGGCCCGTTGGTTCAAGTCCCGGGCCTGGCAGTTTGAAAAACACACCGGGTGCATGTGCATGCATGCCCAAAATCTCAAGAGGAGAATGGAGGAGGAGGAGTTGTGATTTGGCCATTCTCCCTGGTGGATGATTTTTCACTTTCCTTCTCTCTGCCTCTGTCTGTCTGTCTCCCTGGTGAGTGCATGTGCCCTATGACAAAAATCTAAAAAAAAGAAATAGTGACAGTTTTAAATCATTCGCTCTATAACCACAAAGGCCGTCATAATAATAATAATAATAATAATAATAATAATAATAGCAGCAGTTGGAATTTACATAGCATTTGTCAGCTATTAAGCACTCTGTTTTTTATGTGTTTTTTTTTTTTTCTTCTTCTTTTCATTAGTCTTGCTAGGAGAAAGGTACACTGGCAGGAGAAAGAGAGGGGAAGTGAGAAATGACCCCCCTGGGGGGAATGGACACGCTGCAGTCCCTTCCCCATTCTCCTCCTGGAATTGGTGCACACACGCAGCGGCACCCACCAGCATGTTTTTCAAGCCGCCGGGTCTGGGACTGGCACTGTGCAGTTAGTTCCTTGAGATCCAGCAGCATTAACCATCATGCCACGGGCTGACCCTGTGTGTTTTTTGTTTTCTGGGGGGAGAGGTTTTTGTTATTGGGTGTGTGCACTCACCAGAGAGACAGAGACAGACAGAAAGCGAGAAATCACCCCCCCAGGGTGCCGCAATCCCTTCTCCTTTATTCTCCTCTCAGGATCTTGGGCACACATGTGCACACACACATGCGCCGGGCATGAGTTTAAGCCACCAGGTCCAGGACTCGAACCGTGGTCAACTACATGGGAGTCCAGCGACATACCCATTATGCCACCTGCTGGTCCCGTATATTTGCTTTTAATGTGTGTGTGTGTGTGTTTGTTTGTTTTGCTAGAGGGCATGCGTGCTAGCCAGAGAGAGACAGAGAGACAGAAAGCAAGAAATCGCCCCCCAGGAGGCATGGCCATGCTGCAATCCCTTCTCCTCTAGCCTCCTTTTGGGATTTTGGGACCATAATGCACATGTGCCCAGTGTGAATTTTAAGCCACCAGGTTTGGGACTCAAAGCATGGTCAACTACGTGGGAGTCCAGTGACACAACCATTACTCCATCTGCTGGTCCCTTTAATGTGTTTCTTTCCTCCACATTTTAATTTGCTATAGGGCACGTGCACTTAGCAGAGAGAGACAGAGACAGTGAGAAAGCAAGCTGCCAGGCAGGCCATGTAGGTGTGAGCCCCTTACCTCCCGCCCACCTGCTGCCTCTGAACTGTCACGATCACACCTGTCTGTGTTACCTGAGGGACGTGGAGGCCGAGCGAGGGGCATCCTTCCCTGGAGGTCACTTGGTGGGACAGAAGAGTTGCTGGGTTTGAACTCCCCCTCTCCTGGACCCCGTCCCTGCAGGTCATCGAGGCCGAGCTTCGCTCCACCAAGCGCTGGGAGCTCACTGCGGAGGGGGACGAGATGGCCCGGGAGGGCAGCCACGAGGCCCGTGTGTTCCACGCCATCCCCCGCGAGGGCCTGGCCCAGAGCGAGCTCATGCGACTGCCCAGTGGCAAAGTGGGTTTCAGCAAGGCCATGTCCAACAAGTGGATCCGCGTGGACAAGAGCGCGGCCGACGGGCCCCGCGTGTTCCGAGCGGTGAGTTCCCGCAGGCGGGCCGCGGGGTGGCGGGGGAGCCGGAGCCCCGGCCTGACGTCTGCCCTGGCGCAGGTGGACAGCGTGGAGGACGAGGTGCAGCGCAGGCTCCGGCTGGTGCAGGGGGGACAGGCCGAGAAGCTGGGCGAGAAGGAGCGGAGCGAGCTCAGGAAGAGGAAACTGCTGACGGAAGTGTGAGTGCGCGACGCCCCCAGGCTCCAGCCCCTCCCCTGCAGGGCCGGGTAGGGGTGCAGCTGTCCTGCCCAGAGGGTCTCCTCCCAGCGCCCCCCACAGAATGGTTAAGAAACTTCGTCTACGCCCCGCCTTCCACCCAGACCTGCCTTCTCACTGATTTTTTTTCTGTTCTAAAGTTTATTTATTCATTTCTTCCATGAGCAAGAGACTATGAAAAATAGCCCCTCCCTTTTTTTAAAGAGTTTACTCTTTTTTTTTTTAAAGAATTATTTTATTTAACTTTATTTACTTATTTTAATTTGACTAGAGAGGGACAGAGCAAGAAAGAGAGAGAGAAAGGGAAAGTGAGAAAGCAAGCTGCCAAGTCCAGGACTCGAACCACGGTTAGCCATGTGGGAGTCCAGCACCCTTAACCACCACACCACTTGCTGGCACCAAGAATTTATTTAATTTTATTATTTTTTAGTTTGATTAGAGAAAGTGAAAAAGCAAGCCATCAGGTCCAGGACTAGAACTGCAGTCGGCCATGTGGGAGTCCTGCACCTTAACCACCACGCCACCTGCTGGCC